TTATATCCAATCATCCTCTAAGTAGCTCCTTCAATCATTCCTCTTCTTTCTTCTATATTTAATTACAATTAAAAACCATGGGAGAAAAGATGCACCAGTACCATAAAGTGCACTCCCTTTCTTTTTTGCCTTGAATGTTTACTGAGAAAAATAACACGTCACACGAATGATAGCTTCATAAAGAATTAAAGCTTTTGTAACACCCCGTTTAAATATGTAATAATTGGGTTATTTATTATTTATTATTTATTGTCTTTATTGTTACTATTATTATTATTATTATTTAATTATCTAATTGATTATAGCTATATTATTGTTATAAATATTTTGAGAAATGCTATAGTACCGTTACGGATTCATTCCGTCGGGATTTGCAACCGTTAGATCAACTATATCTGACGGTTACATGATGATCTAACGGTTGCAAACTCCGACGGAATTGTTCCGTAACGGGACCGTAGCATTTCCCAAATATTATTGCTAAATGCCTAATTGTTCTTAATTGCTTATTTGATTATTATTATTATTATTATTATTATTATTATTATTATTTAAATAATTGTCTAATGTGCCTAATGTGATTAATGTGTATTATTAAATATTATTATTGTTAAATATTATTATGTGTAATATAATTAGTTAAAATATATTTATTTCTGTATTAGTAATAAAAAAAATTTGAATGTGTATTATATTCGGTTTTACTTTATTATCGAGCCAAACGTTTATATGTCGTGAGTATCGAGCCCAAAAACTGAATCATTACATTGAACCCACGCATGAACCGACCCGATAAATGGAGGAACCCGCGAGCCCGAGCTGTTCCAGCCCTGATTCGGTTTTTCTCTCTTGTGCGTGTGTGCGTGTGTTTCTTGAGTAAAAAGAAAGCAATTAAATACCTAAGCTACTAGGTATATCTTCCCCCTTACATATAAGCAAAAATGTAAGGGGTTTAGAGCTTGACACGTGTCCTTTTTTGGACGAAAATGCCCTCACTCTTGGGTACTTTATGAGGGATATAAGTGTCATTACAATAGCCATTTTTCCTGGCTTCTACACGTTCTCTGTCCCTCGAAGACCGAAAAAGAAGTCTTATTTCAATCTTGCGCACGTCTTCCACTTTCTTCCAAGGACGATAAGACAGAAAGTAAAGAAGAGAGGCTTCATTCTTCTTCATTTTTCAATCCGAATTAAGGGATACAATTTTTGTGACTTTCATCTACATAGGAGGCATGTTATTTTTTTTTTTTATCTTTTTCCTTCGATTTTTTTCCGATTCAATTGTCGATCTGTGCGTGTTTTCAGCATTTTTTTGATAACTTTTTTACGATATAACTTTTTCTTTCTTTTTTTTTTGGTTTTTGCTTCTTCGTTAAATTCACCCCGAACATACACACACAAATTCAAATCCAAATTTTACTATCTAAAATTCTATTTCTTATGTGTTTTTGACCATGAGCAGGGCTCCAAGAGGAGGGTCCGATTTGGCCATTCTATTCAGCGACGATGCCTGGTCGGGCCTGTTTGCGTGGAGAGGACTTTCAAGAGTCGCCGATGGAAGAAATGGAGCTGCAGCTGACGAGTTTTTTTCCCAGAAAAAATCCACTGTTGCCGATTACATCGAACACGACGGCAAGTCGAGGAAAAGAAGATTTGGTAAGGGACAACAACTCGCATAAGAGACTTACGTATATGGAGGACACGATTGTGGTAGAGCTGGGCTTTATACAACAAGGCCGAGCAAAATCACGTTCCTTTCGTCTCTAAAAAAAGGTATATTTTTGTCCTTTTTTTCTATTTTCAATTGGTGTAATTAGTAATGTTACTTGAAATTGATGTAATTGTTGATTTAAATTGGAATTACTATCTTGAAAGAATAATTATTTGTTTGGGTTAAAAGAAAGGAAATTTTTGGATTGTGTTGTTTATATGAAGAACTCCTCTAGAAGGATAAAAGTTTTGGATTGTAGTTGCTATTTCGGATTGGAGTTACATTGGGTTTTGGATTCTGATCTCGATTAATTAATGTGTTTAAATGAGCCTAAGAAGTATGGACTTGGAGTGTTTGTTCTGCGTCTTTTCTACATGTTCTTGATTGACTTCTATTTAAAGTGATTAAGGTGTAGCCTGTAATAAGCAAATCATTATTTAGTTCAATCCATTCTTTTCATATTCTCCAATCGATATTTAAATCCAGCGCTATGCCTACAGCTCTTGTTCCTGCCCACGGTGAGCTCGACGAGCTTTTCGCCTTCACCGTCGTCACGTACCAGACTCTGGTGAAGTTTCTTATCAATACTGGCATGAATTTCCCAGCGCTGCCTAGGTAAGTTTGTGATTCTAAATGTATTTTCATTTTATGATTTTGATTCTAAGCGTTTACTGTTTTTCCCTTCAGTGATTGAGAAGATGTTGGCAGTGGGTTTAGCGAGTGCATCACATGGTCCATCATAAGTTATTAGAAAA